TCCAGCTGGGGGAGGGCAGTAGGACTCTCGCTGGGGGTGGGAGGGCAGACTCTGTTGGGGGCCCCAGGCTGGAACCGGAGCAGCAGGGCCCAGGGAGCGGTGGCATCACCAGGATCAAGCCCATAGTTCCCTTCCCCACAACCCAGCAGCAGGGAAAGGACAGCCTAGGGAGCCGGGAGTGGAGGGGGGGGGCCACCCCTTACTCCAGACCCCCGTGCTGCCCCCCACCCCGCAGAACCCAGGCATCCGGCCCAGCTCAGGCAGCCACTCGGGGCAGGTCTGGCCAGTCCATTTATTGGGGTGCATTCAGCAGCAGCTCTGCCCCCCCCCTACAGCTCCGGGCGCCGCTCAATCTTCAGCAGCTCCACCTCGAACACCAGCGTTGCACCACCTGGAGGGGGCATGGGGTCAGGGGGGGGGCCTGGGAGCCCCCCAACCCTGACCTGGGGGCTGTGGGTCAGGAGAGAGGGGCACAGATCCACTGGGAGGAGATGGGGTGACCCAGGAGTCCGGGACAGGGAGATGGGGGGGGGTACGAGACTTACCTGGAATTTTTGGGGGTGCCCCCCTATCCCCATAGCCTGCGGGAGAGAGGTGGGGTGAGACTATGGAACCCCCCCCCCCCTGCCGGTCGGTACCCCTCACTCCCAACCCACAGTCCCTGCACCCTCAGCCCTGCAGTGCCCCTCACTCCCGGCCCACAGCCCCTTACCCCCCCACCCTGGTGGCGCCCCTTACTCCCAGCCCGCAGCCCCTGCCCCCCAGCCATGCTGGGACCCCTCACTCTGGACCTGCAGCCCCCCTTACCCAGTTCTGAGGGAATCACCAGCTTCCTCTTCTCACCTTCACACATCCTGGGGTAGGGAGGAGGAGACACGGTTTGCCCCAGACACCTGCCATCTGCCCTCCCAATCCAGTTGCCTACCAGCGGGTAACAGGCTGAAGCAGCCCCAGCCCTGGGGCGGCCTCCTGGCACTGCCAGTCCCTGCCCCCACATTCTTGGGTGGCTGACAGCAGGAGCCCAGACACCTGGGTTCTCTCCAGCGGGGGAGGCCCAAAACCCAGGACACCTGGGTCCTTATTACCGCCCCCAGTTCGGAGACTGGGGTCCCTCACACTGCACCTGGACACCTGGGTTCCCCCCACCCCCAATCCTGGATACCTGGGGCCCTCTCAGGTGACCCATACGCCTGGGTCCTTCATGCCCCAACCCTTGAGGCCTGGGTACTCTCACCTTGTCCTGGACACCAGTGCCCCCTCTAACCTGCCCACCCCCAAACAGCTGGGCTCCTCACCACACCCAGGTCCCCCAACACCTGTGCCCCCCCACCCGCATGCCTGGGTTCTTCTCACCTTGGCCTGGATGCCAGGGTCCCCCCTACACCCCTGCCAGGACTCCTGGGTCCCTCACACTGTACCTGGATGCCTGGGCCCTGTTCACCCCCCGACACCCGAGTCCCCCTGTGCCCTACCTGGATGCCTGGATCCCCTCCAATGCCCCCTGACACCCGGGGTCCTCTCACTCTCCCCGAGTGCCTGGACCCTGGTGCCCAGGCCCCACCCCGCCTCCGGACTCCTGGGTCCCTCACCCGAGCAGCCCCTGGTCCCAGCCCTTGATGACCTGCCCGGTGCCCAGGGAGAAGACAAAGGGCTGTGCCCGGCCCAGGCTGCTGTCAAACTCGGACCCGTCCTCCAGCCGGCCCTGGGGGGGGGCAAGTGTGTGTGTGGGGTCAGTGGGGCAGAAGGGGGCAGAACCACCCCCCTTCTCTGGGTGCTGGGGTTCCTCGCCCTACCCCACTGCCCGGATGCCTGGGTTCACTCAGGCCCCCCACCCCTCCCCCCTGGATCCCCAGTGCCCCTCCGCCAGGCCTGGGTTCCTCGCACCTTGTCCTGCATGCCAGGGTCCCCTCCCCCCAACCCAGATGC